ATGGTGGTTTAGGGTTAGTTTTGTCTGTGAGCAATGAGAAAGAAGTTTATTTCTCTCTAGCTGGCAGTTCAAACCCACCAGCCACTCCTTGGAAGGAAGGTTGGGCAGTCTACTTCTGTAGTGATACCACCTTGGAAACCCAAGGAGGGGTCGCTGTGAGTCGGATCCAATTCTATGACAGTGGGTTTGGTTTTGGTTTTTGGAATCCTTGGGAACTCTGGTGGTGTAGTAGGTAGGCCATTTGGATGCCAAGCAGAAGGTGGGTGGTTCAAATCCACCAGCTGCTCCACACCAGGAAGAGGAAGCAATCTATGTCCCTAAAGTTTCACGGCATTGGAAACCCATTGGGGGTCACTGTGCGTCAGAGTCAACTCAGTGGCAGTGGGCTGATTTTTTTTTTGAATATGCAGGAAGCCAGTGTTGGTCAGGCCCTGGGACGGTACTCCACAGTATCAGGCTGCAAAAAGGACAAGGAGGCCACATGTTCTGACCTCCTCTAATCCCACAAGAGGAAGGCAGAATCACCATCAATAGCCTAAGGCCTATTCCTGCGAGGCCAGACATGCTGCTTCCCTCCAGCCCTTTTTCCAACCGTTCCTCCCAAAGCACCCACCACCTCTCTTCGATAATTCTCTGCAGTGGCCACACAGAACTCACAGATTATAGAGTTTATTAGGAAGCACCAGGCTACAATTCAAGTTCAGGAAAAATGCTCAGTCTCTCTCCCAGCCCACTGTCTCTCAGCCAAGTCTCTCACAGTCTCTCCCCCAGCAGTGCATGTCCCTCGGTGTCTTACTCAGCAATGCGTGTCTCTTGCATCTCTTTCCCAGCAGCTCCTAGCAGCACGTGTCTCTTTCAGGAGCGCATGTCTCTTTCGGCAGCACGTCTTCCTCAAACCGCAGTCAGAGAGAGTTCTGCCTCTAGGAGGCCTCCTTTTGAGCTTGGCAGAGTGGCCAAACCAACCAATCATAACAACAGAATTCTAAGCACCTGAGAGTGAGCCTCCCATAACATTGCGTTGTGCCACACCCAACAGAAATAACCCAGGTGGATAACATTTACAATCAGGAGCTCCTCAGTTGCTCATTCCACCAGAGTTTACAATGACTTATGGGTAGAAAAGCCACACTAAGTAATTTACTACACTGCACAGGCCCAGGCCCACTCTCTTTCCATCTTGTTACTCTGAGCCTAATAGCTTCTCTTTCAAGGTCTCCTTGTGCCCCGCGTGGCTGTTTGAACCCCAGCAGCTCATGTACTCACCTGCGTCAGGTGCCACCCCAGTGGCACATGCACCCACCAACAGTACAGCCAATAGGAAGGAGGAGGGCAGCCCAGGGTCATGCCTCTGGCGTTTGGGACACTTCCCAGAAGGTGCTGCACACATTCCTACTTATATCCTACTAGCTAGAACTTGGTCTTGTGACCACCCCAGCTTCCAGGGAGACTGGAAAATGGGTTTTCTTTTGAACAGCTATGAGGCCGGCAAAGTCTAGGAGGCTGTTAACCTTGGAGAGCACCAAAAAACTTGCCGCCATCGAGTTGATCCAACTCAGCAACACCCATTGGGTTTCCAAGGTGGTAAATCTTTACAGAAGTAGATTGCCCCATCTTCCTTCTGCAGAGCAGCTGGTGGGTTGGAATCTCCAACCTTCTGGTTGGCAGTCAAATGCTTTAGGCACTGTGCCACCAGAGCTCCTTACCTTGGACAGAGAGAGATTGAATAGTGGGAGACCATGTCAGCCTCTGCCCCCACCCAGTTCTGTATAAATTGAAGAAGGGAACCTGGAGGGCCAGCCCAGGCACAAGCAAGCAGTGGCTTGGCCATAGGTCTGGGCTCAGCCCCCAGCTTGTGGCAGAGGCTCAAACGCTTAAGGTGATTCTCTCTCATGGGGCCAGCCCAGCAGGCCTCACAGAGCAAGTAGTGAAGCGTGTCTGGGGCAGAGGGAGCCGCTGGTGCAGAGCTGGGCAGGCCTGTGCTAGGGGCAGCTGGATCTTCAAAGGCTGGGTGCTACAGTGATGACAGTGCCAGGTGGTTCCCATTTGTGCCCCGGACCCCTGGGTCTGGGCCGCCATCATGCTGTTTGTGGGCTTGCATGTACCCCCAACTCTCGCGGGTGATCATGCCCACCTCTGCAGCTAGCACTCTGTAGGCAGCACCCTGAAGGCAGCTGGGGTTTACTGCCCAGCAGAGCCCTCCATGCTCTACCCACTTCTGAACTTCTCTCTGCAGAAGGCTTATCTTAATGAAGGGAATGCCAAAGACATGTAATCATTAAAACTGAGTGTGGCTCGACTTGACTTGTCACATTGTAAGGGGTCTTCAGTTGTGGCTCAAGTGGCCAAGAGCATCACTCTCATATAAAATTGAGGCTGCTGAGTTTTTATGAAATGACGTTGTTTTCCCAGAAAAGATACTTCTTTCCTGTTTAGTGCTAAAACAAGTCCATGGGTTGAAGCATTTGAGTAAGAAGCCACGACCTCCTGTGAGGATGGTGTAAGCTAGTTGCTGAGGTTTTGGTTGGGGGGTCCTTAGGGGTCTGCCCACCAGGTAATGGCAGGCCTTTCCAGGTGAGCAGGAGGCCAAAGAGGAGAGTGAGGGTCAGCTGAGGCCCCTCTCCCACCCTCAAAGCTAAGAAGCTTGTCCACTGTCCACCCACATCCAGGACTGGGTGGCTCTGCTCCAAGCCCTAAATGGGGAGAATGGCTTTGAAGTCTCACGGTCGATCCTAAAAATTCATGCACAGTTTGTGTCACATGTCATGTCATACATTGTTTTAACATCAAATTACATTTTGAGTTACCATCAGAAAAGCTGCCTTGGAGTGGTGGCCTGGGGTGCTCTATACCAACACGTACTCCTGGGTGGGTCTGTGAACCCCAGGGAGGCCAAAGTGCAGGGGAAGTGGGTCTGGGCCTTGCCCTACATCACCTAGATCCACAGCCAGGGGCTTGCCTCCCGCGCACCCTGACCACGGTGACACAGCTGGGACTTGTAGACTCAGCACCTCCCCTGTGAGCAGACAGAAGGGTGCACCCTTGGGCCATGGCAGAGGGCATGGGCCCAGGACTGGGTCTCTGGCCCTCCTGCGAACAGCTGCCAGGGCACTGTCTTCCTGAGTTGGCCAGTGTTTGGGGTGTTGCTAAGGAGACACACAGTCATTTAGCTCCAAGTGAGCTAAATCGGGCAATGAGAAGGTCAGTGTGGGGTTGGTCACCTTCTTGCTGTGACCTACAAATTCTGGGCCCCCAGCCCGTCTCCAGATGGAGCAAGGAGTCACCTCCTGGTTATGCCTTCCGGACAAGTCTTCTTGTGTGCAGAGGCGTGGCATGCTGGGAGAGCTCCAGGCAAGGAAGGCGGATGCTGGGGGCTTCCCAAGCACTCGCTGTCTCCAAGATCTGCAGCTCGGGCCTGGTCCTCTGGAGGTAGGGAGCCATGGTGCATACAGGTGGACCTTGAGATGAGACAGGACCCATAGCTCCACACGTGATGGAAGAAAGCACCTCCCTCCTCTGTGTGAGGCCAGCAGTTGCCCTGGGTCCTGATGACCGACCACCTCTCAGGACTCGCCTTCTCCCCCTCAGTGAGTCCTGGCTGCAGCCATACAGGTCCTAGTGGCAGCTTCCCATTAGATACAAACCCTTGGTTCTAAGGCTTCAATGAGAATGGGCTGATGTAAACAAGACTAGGGCAAAGGCTCAGGGTGACGTACTGCTGCCACCTAACTCGTTCTTCCCCGTGCTGCCCTCCCCTAGAGAAAGGCCTTGCCGTACCCCCTTGGGCCAGCCGCCTGGCTCAGTCCATAAGTACACAAGGCCTGCTCTGGGCCCTCAAGCTGGCATGTGTATAAGCTGGCATATCTAGGACCTGTGTACACAGGCAGTGGTGGGTGCACGGGGGCTCCATCGGTTGATGTGGTCAAGCCCAGTGTTGCCCCTTCCTCTCCCGAGTCTCTGTCCTTCCAGCTGGTTCTGCTCAGACCAGTTAGTGCAGAGTTTAGCCCCCCAGTGGTCTTGTATGCTATGCGCCTCCTCGCCATGCGCAATGCCCCTTGCCCTCACGGCTGTGCAGGGGCGAAGGGTCCAGTAAAGTGGGCTCCAGCACTATTGTGGGGTGGGCTGGGAGTGGGCCCTAGGCAGGCCTGGCACTGTGCCCCGCACAGGGTGGATGCTGGACGTCGTGGCCCTGGGGCCCCTGCCCCACCTGCCTGGCTTGGGGTATCCACAGCCGCTAATTGCTGCTTGGATCTGTGCTCTGCATGCTTGTGTGTTGCTGGTTCTTGCCCACGAAAAACAAACATGCTGGGCAGCCAGGGAGCCGGGGAGGGGAGTTGCTGGCAGGTCTCTGTAGCTGCTAAGCCCCCTCCACCTACCTCCCCGTAGGCCTCTGGGGCCCGCCGGGGCAGTGTTGGACCGAGGCCTGAAGTCCTGAGCCTTGCCAAGTCTCATCAGAGGATAGTGGGTCTGCTAGCTTCCTCTGCTGCCCTGCCCACACACCTCTCTGTGTGTCCTGGCGCCAGGCACCTGTGCAGTGGCTGCTCACCCTCTGCACACTCAGTGGCACCAGCTGTGTGCCTGCAAACAAGTACCACCTCTTTCTGGGCTGCAATGTCTGCCTCTAAGAGGTGGGCCTGCCGGTGTCTTGTGAAATGGGTGAGTTGACGTATGTAGTGCACAGCGGAGGGCCTGAGAGGTAGTAAGCACTCAGTCCCACCAGTGGGCCCTGAGACGCCCTTAGTCTATGCTCCACTGGGCCTAGCAGGAAATGGGAGCCCAGGTCAGAAGCCCATGCGCTGTGGGGAGTGAGCTGCTTCTGGTCAGCCCTGGATTAATGGCTTTTAATTTAGAATTCCGTCAGCGCAGCTTCTCTCCGGAGAGCAGGATGCGTTGCATCGGGAGTGAGTCCTGTGTTCCGGGTGGGAAGGGAAAGAAGTCCCCGTGATGGCGCCGCCCAGCCTCTGCCGGCCCAGGCCGACCTCACTCTTCTTTGTCTGCAGCCGGCGGCCACCCTGGCCATGGAGGACCGCAACGCACACTCAGCAGCCAGCATCCTGGCCTCCGTGAAGGAGCAGGAGGCGCGCTTCGAGAGGCTGACGCGGGCGCTGGAGCAGGAGCGGCGCCATGTTGCACTACAGCTGGAGCGCGCCCAGCAGCCCAGCATGAACAGCGGTGGCACAGGCTGTGGGCAGCCCTTGCCAATGGCCTGGCAGCAACTGGTCCTGCAGGTAACAGCCCAGTGACTTGGAAAGAGTGAAAATGGCCAAGTGGGGAGATGATCAAGCGGCCCTGGTGGACCCCAAGCCAGCAAAGCATGGCTTATTTTAAGACATGTTGGGGCTTCAGGGGAGGGAGGAAATTGGGACCCCTAGGGGGCTGGAAGTCCCTTGTGGGTGTGTGGGGTAGCATGTGATGAATGGGCCTGACCCTCAGAAAGGCACCTTTCCACTCAAAAGAGCCCTCGGGTCCAGGCAGCCAAGCAGGGTCCATTCTGAGCAGTTCAGTGGTTAGCTTAGGGATTGAGGGCTTTGACTGGCCCCACGTCTCCCTGCCATAGTGTTGCCCTTTATTGCGTGCCTCGGTGGGTCAGCCCCAGGGGAAGACTTGACCAAGTCCCCAGGCTCTGCCTGCAGCTTAGACAGTGGTCTGGGAGTCTCAGTTTCCCTGTTGGCTGTTGACCTGAGGCAGGGCTCCGGGTCCTGCTCGGCCCAGGAGGTGGGGGGCCGTGGCTGCTCTGTGGCTGGGCCCTCAGAGCCCTGAAGTTGGGGTGCACACTCAGAAGTAAGACCCCCTTGGACCCCACTCAGCACTCACTGTGCCTGAGCACCCTAATATGCAAACAGGAGGTGGTGGCATCTGCTGGTGGGATGATGAGGGTCGAAGGGGGAAAATCAAGGGGCCTGGAGTTTGGTGTGCTTGTTACAGTTCCCGTTAGCTACCCAGCAGAAGGCCTAGGGCAGGCCGGTCAGGAGGGCCCAGCTACAGGCCTCCTGCTGCTGTCCCTCTTTATCACCCATTTTGGAGCCCCGGGGCCCACGGTCTGCTGTGTCCACACTGCTCCTGGTGGAGTGATCCTAGAAGGCCCTCTCTGCAGGTTCCTTGATTTCCCTGGCTCAGTTTCCCCCCAGCAGCAGGTAGAAGTGTTGCCCACCTAAATCAAGCAGCTGGGCTTCCTCTTGGCATGCTCCCACCCCTATCCCCACCACCTGTACAGGGTACTGGCCAGGCACACACACCTGGTACATGTGCTGGTGTCTTGGGGTAGTCTGTGCCCTTTATGGCTGGAGAGAAAGGGGGCATGGTGCTGGTCTGGGCTGAGGCTGGCTCACTGGGCTAGCTTCAGCTCATTATGGGGGGTGTGGGGCATAGAAGCAGTGGCCTGCATCAGACCAGGGGACATGAGGTAAGGGACCCTCTCTGATCCTCAATGACCTTGTCTGGTCAGTGGGGGATACCAAACTCACTGCCGATGAGTTGATTTTGACACACAGCGACCCCTCCTTGGTTTTCTGAGGTGGTGTTTCTACAGAAGTCTTCCTTCTGAGGAGTAGCTGGTGGTTTTGAGCTGCCAGGCTCTGGTTAGCAGTCAGGTGCCTTAGGCACTATGGCACTAGAGCTATATAATGATTCTTATATCCACTCACTTGACCCCTGTGAAGGTGCAGCCCAGCATGGGTGTGCGACTGGAGCCAGATAAGTGTCCATTCCTTCCCTTAGGACCAACCTCCAGAGAACCTCGGGTCCCGCTGACAGTCTGGACCTCTTGGGAAGCAGTCTTTCCCAAGCCCCACTGTGCTGAGTGATCTCAGTAGGGCCACATAGTCAGTTCACAGGAGGCTAGCACTCGGGCTGGAGTGGGCCTAGGTGAAGAGCCAACCCTGCTGTCTCCCAGGCACTCCAAAGTGGGTTGCATGGGTACAATGGCAGCCAGTGACTACCCTGTGACTACTACCCCGCAGGTGCCAGGGGCTGTATCTCACTCCACGCTGGAATAGGCTCCAGCCTTTAGCCCATGGATGGCACCACAGAGGGTCAGTGTCCTGGCTGGGGAGATGTTCCCACACCCTAGAGTTGCCCTAGCCTCCTGGGGGCTATAGACCACACAATGTTAGGCCACTGCCCCTCCCTGTCTGCCTGGGTTTTCTGTCTCTTGGGAGGAGATAGTTTTCTCAGGCTGGGATTAGAGCAGGCATATGTTCCCAGGGCTCCAGCTGTAGTCAGGCGGCTTGGGATGCTGCAGGAGGTTGGGGCCACCAGGGCTGGCCAGGCCCCACAGCCTTGATGCCAAACCAGCTTCCCAGATAATCTCAGCAGGAGACGCCTGATGACCTGCCTGCTGAGCCACAGAGCTGCCGGGAGTATGGTGCTCAGGGCTGGGGTTTGGTGTTTGAGAAGCTCCAGGGCTGGGGGCCAGGTAGCAGCTACAGCCAAGGCTGGGCAGCCAGGAGCCAGGGTTTTGAGAGGCTTGAGGGGGCAGCTGGGACTGAGGCTGGGAAGCTGGGGGGCAGGCATCATTGCTGCTGTACTCCCTGAGCCGTGCCACGGTCCTGACCGCCTGCCATCCACCCTCTGGTATGAAGGCGCTTAGTGTGGAGAGAGGCTGCCCATAGTGAGGAGGGTGCCATTAGGGGCCTGGTCTGCTGGGCTCTTACAGCCACCTCAGCCAAGATGAAATTTGGGAGAAGACAAAAATGGCTCAAACATAGATAGCATCAAGACTGTGTCCCTTGGGGCAGTGGTCCAGTCCTACTCACTCACCAAAGTGGCTCCTCAAAGTTCAAGGCATCTTAGGAAACTGAGGCTCACAGGGCAGTGCGCACCCAGAGTGCTGGACCATTAGTGTGTGTGGTGCATCTTGGAGACAGAGTGGCCCCAGTGGAGGCTTGGTTTCTGAGTGGGGTCTGGGAACAAGTGGGTGCGAGGCAGGAGACCCAAGCTCAGGCCCCCTGTCTGGCCCGACCCACGGAGCCTCCTTGGGCTGGCCCAGCCCTGCGCATCTAAGACATGAGTTTCTTTGTCCATAGTGCAGTTGGCTGCTGGTTTGCCTTTGTGAGATATGACCCGAGTTGGTGGCTCTGGCCACATCAGAGCCTCACTCCCCAGGGTGTGGCTGCGTATTCACGTGAGGCTGTGGGGGGCACTCTGGTGGGACCAGTGCAGACTGTGCCTGAGCACGCTTTCCCCTCCCCCCAGCCACCACAAGTCACCCAGAAGATTGCAGGTGTGGAGGGTAGAGGGTTCAGAACCAAATGGGCCCCTATGAGGCCAGGATCCAAGACTAGACAGGTTACGTGGCTGGCGCAGGGACATCCAAAAGTTCTTCTTTCCACTGAAGCTGCTCTTATCCTTGTGGGATCCCTCGGGGGATGGACCCTGAGCTGCTGTTTTAATGAGGGGGACCCAAGACAAAAAGGGTTGCCTGTGGGATCCTTTGCCAGGTCATCAGTGAGCTGTGTGGGTACGTTTCTTTGAGGCCCCATTCCGGGAAGTCTGAATCTGGGGAGACCGGGGAGACCCCGCGGGCAGGATCCTGCAGGGCTGGTGGTGCCTTAAGTATTATATACTGTCTCGTTGGCCACCATTTCACAGCAGGATGAGCAGTTAGTGCTCTGGGAGCCACCCATCAGCCTGAGGGAATTGTTTTCCCAACTATTCAGGGAGCGAGTGGGGGGCAGCGTGTGTGCCCATTTACTAGTGGCAGACCGAGCCAGAGAAGGAGCTGGTAACTGGGCGAAAAATAAGATCCTCGAGGTAGAGGTGCGAGGAGCCCCTACAGGCCTCCAGGCGGTGGAGGCGGCCCTGGCCCCGCCCAGGCTGCGGAGCCACGCCCCGTGCCCGTAGGGGGCGTCCTGCGCCCCGCCCCGCCTGGGCGCGGCCCCGCCCGATTGGCTGCTTGCCTTGACCGCCGCCAGATCCGCCTCCGCGGGGAGTGAGTCCGCTGAGCCCGAGCGGCCGAGGCGCCGGAGCCAAGCCGGGTCCGTTGCCTCGCCGCTCGTTGCCCCGCGGAGCCCCAGCCCCATGCCGGCTGAACTCAGACAGGTTGGACGGAGCTTGGTCCAGGGCGGAGGGCGTCACCGTCCCCGGGGCCTGGCGGGACCCCGGCGGCAGAGGGCGGCGCCGGCCTTCCCGGGAGGACCCGCTTTTGTTTTGCGGAGCCGCCAGCGAGCAGCTATTGTCTGCGCCCCGGACTTGGGCCGCGTCGGGCCCCGGGGTCGGCGGAGGCTGGCGTGAGCGCACAGTCCTGGGGGTGTGCAAGAAGCGGGGCGGGGCCGCGGAGTCTCTGGAGCCCCTCCCCGCGGGCTAGGCGCGGGGGTCCGTGGACAGTGCGTCCCTACGCGCCGAGCGGGGCGGGACCAGTGGGCGCGCCCCCGGCGAGCGCCCGGGGCAGGTGCGGAGGACGCGGCCTTCCCGGGCAGCCCCTCGTGCAAGAGGGTGGCTGAGGCCGGAGAGGGAAGCCCGGCTCAGTCTCTTACTCCCCAAGGGCTCCCTTGGCCTACCCCCTTGCCTCCACGTCCCCAGCGCAGGCTCTGACTCCAGGGACCTGCGAAAGGGCTTCCGGTGCGTTAATGGAAGCCCTCTGCTGCGGTCGCGCACGTGAGGGAGGGGGCACGAGGAAACCTTCCAGCAGGGACGGTGGTGGGGCCTGTTGGCAGCTGCACTGAGTCAGAGGGAGGGCTCCATTAACGGGCAAACAGGCCAGGAGCTGAGGCTTAGCGGAAAAGTGACTTGCCCAAGGCCTCTTGAAGAAGGTGGCTTTCTTCCCACAAACCTGCTTACTTGGGCCAGTCTGGCTGCTCGCTGCCCCTGAGGTGGAGGGCCCAGTTGGATGCGCTGCGGAGATTCTGGGTTACAGGTGGCATAGTGCCTAAGGCGCTTGAGTGCTAACCAGAAGACTGGTGGTTCAAACCCACCAGCTGCTTCTTGGAAGGAAGGTTGGGCGATCTACTTCTGTAGTGATACCGCCCCGGAAAGCCAAGGAGGGGTTGCTATGAGTCGGTCTGACTTGAAGGCACATAACTACAACAAGAGCAAGAGAATGTGTACTAGGCTTGGGGAGGACAGAGGGTGATGAGACCCTGACCCAGTCCTGTTCCCCCCACCCCCAACCTTGTTTTCCCAAGCCTGCTAGATGCCAACTGCCCGTGGCTTCTCTCTACAGGGAGCTGGGCGGACCTCAGGGCAGACACACCCTGGCAGGCAAACCTCCTGTTCCATGCAGGGCTGAGAGAAGCTGTAGATGTGAAGAAAAAGGGCATTTTGTGGTAGCCAGGGAGTTGCTCTTTGACCCGCCCTGCCTACTGGGAGATACCAGGCTCACTTGTCCTGGCCTGAGTCTGGGAGAGTCACACTGGGGAAGGTGGTTGTCACTCTGACCATTCTGTCATCCAGCTATCTGTGCTCTCTGGGAATGGGGTGGGGGGGTGCATTCAGGGAGCCAGCTGTGGGATCCCTGCCTTAACGTGCCCCTTAGGTGCATGTTGGGCCCGTGGACAGGGTCTGGTGCCCACCAGTGCAGTTGGTTTCTCACTATACAGACAGCGAGTGCTCAACTCTAAAGTCCAGGCGGCACTGTACGTCTTGGGACCCCAGCTCGGGCACTCCCCTTTGGACTTGGCTTGTTTCCTTTGGCTCCTCCCTCCTGCATTCCCGCACGCACACACGCAGTTGTTGTGGGCTTTTGCCCAGGCGGTGGCCCCTCTATGCCTCACTCCACATCTCGCCTTTCCTGGCCCTGCGCTGGTCCTGTTGCCAGATGAAGAAGCTGAGCCCCAGGAGTGGCTGAGCCTCTAGGGACCCCTTAGAGCTGGGCGGTGGGCGTTCATGCTGATCTGTCTCCAGCCCCAGCCCTGGAGCGGGCTGCTTCCTCAAACTGAAGAGAACTCATGGGAACGCCCAGGCCCAGAGGCTCGGTGGATCAGGATGTGGCAGCCACAGGATGGATTTGAAGCCCTGGGGCCGGGAAGAGGCCTGGTACCTTGGTCCCAGCAGAGGGGTGAGGATGAGGCCAGGGCTGGGGCTAGAGTGACGAGGGTCAGTTGACAGGAATTGACGGGATTTGGGATATGGGTAAAGGAAGGAGGTGGTGTGTCCAAGACAGTGCCCGTGTCTGGGGTACAGGTTAGGACAGGCCGGAGTCTGGTCTGGGGCAGGGACTGTGTAGGGCTGCAGGGTCGAGGGTCCTTGAAGGTGGGCCTGAGCAGGTGGACTGGGACTTGGGGGCCCTAGAGCAGGGCACGGGAGCCAGATGGCAATGAGCAGCTTCCTTGAGCACCCGTTATGTGCTGGTCGCCAGCCCGCGGCCCTGCGTCCTTACCCTGAAAACGTTGCAGAGGTTGAGCCATGGGATGGCATCAGGTTCTCCGCTTACCAGCTGTGAGATCCCCATAGTGGACGTCTGGGTGGGTGACTCGAGGGGCTGGCGGCTCCTGCCCGTGCATGTTGAGAGCATGTGAGGCACAGTACTGGGAAAAGGTCTGGATGTGTGGAGGGCATACATACACGTGTAAGTGTGCTAGAAACAGTAGGCACAAGTGGGCTTGGTGGGCTCTTAGGAGAACACACAGAATGACGTGCTTAGGTGTGTGTGTCAGGCAGGGTGCTCATGCACACGTAGGGTATACACATCCTTGCCTGAGGAGGCAGGTACATACATGTGTATGTACACAGGTCCCTGCCCGTGTGCGTGTGTATGCATGCATGAGCATACATGCCAGGCAGGGTGCTCACCCACGTGTATGCACATTCATGCCTGAGAGACCCGGTATATTCATGTGTGTATATGTATGTGTGTACTCAGGCCACGCCCAGGTGCCAGTCAGGCTACTCGTGCACACATGCATGCGTACGTTCCTGCCTTAGGGATTAGGTACACGTAGGTGTGTGTCTTTGTGTGTTTGTGTATGCCAGGCAAGATGCTCATGCACACACATATACACATACATCCCTGCCTGAAGGGCAAGGTACATGTATGTGTATGTGCTTGTCCGTGTGTGTGTGCCAGGTGTGGTGCTCATGCACATGTGTGTATGCATACATCCCTGTTTGAGGGGCCAGGTTGCTGCACATGTGTGTATGGGGGCCCGGCTTTCCCCACGATCAGCTGACTCTCAGTCCCACCCTCTAGGATGAAGTCATCACCCATTTTTAGCTTTCCCAGGTCATTTGCCAGTGGGGCTCTCTGGGCTTTGGGGTTGTCAGGGCTTGGGATTCCACAGCGTGGAGTGTTGCTGTGTGATGCCTTAGGCTAGCTAGGCCATGCTGAGGGGCCCTGGTTCTCCTGAACCCCCTGTCTCCTTATCCCCCTGACTCTGCACCATGTCATCCTTCACCACAGGCTGGACTGGCAGAAATGATCTGGGTCACAGAGTGGCACTGAGGTCCAGAGGTGTGCCTGTCCGCACCCCATGCACTCTCCCCACTGCCTGGCCTGGGGTGGGGGTAGGGCTCTTGTCTGGGAGTGCTTAATGTATGCAAATGTATGCAGAGCTACTCAGGGTTTGATCCCCGCCAGCAGAGTCCTGGGCAACATACCCCGACGTCAGTCTTGTTTCCACCCCCCCCCCACTGCCAGCATGTAGCCCGAGGCTTTCCCACGGCTGCACCCTCCCGGCTTCTGAGCTCTGAGTGGACTCTTGGGGCCCAGCAGAGAGCGGGTGAGCTGCCGCAGTCGCCAAGCACGTTTGGGGCAGCGGAGGCTCTGGTAGTGATGGGCTGTCCCTGCACCAGAGCCTCCCAGTTCTCCCCAGGGCTCCTACGAGGCCAGAGAAGAGCCCAGGCCAGCCTGCTGGCGGCCTGCCAACATGCCCCTACGCTGAGCCTCAGTTTCCTTCTCTTACCTAGGGAGCAGTGTTCCCTTTTCCTGTTCAGGTCCCGGAAGGCCATGTCCCATCTGCATCCACATTCCAGCACCTTCGTGGCGTCAGCCAGGCCTGTGGACCACGAGGAATGAGTGTTCCTAAAAGGCCGCCTTGCAACATCCCCTTCCCTGTGGATGCCTGAAATGCCCGCATTAGCAGTTTGTGAAGTTCTGGGTGAATCCCCTCCCTTCCACTAGGCCTCGTTTTCCCCATCGTGTGAGGGCCTGCTCCTGGGGTAGGAAGGAGGACATCCTGTGGCCCTCTTCTTCCTGAGTCACCAGTGCCTCGTGATGCACCCATCCTAACATGTGCCTCATGCACCTGTAGAGGTGATGGGGCCCAGAACTTCAGCACTGCGTGCAGTTAGGGGGGCAGGCATCCCTCTAGGACAGGACTCGGTCACAGAGAGGTTTCACGTTCCAAGGACCTAGAGCATGTTCGGCAGTGTTCTTCTCAGCCAACCTTTCTGCTAGACACTGGCCTAGAGGTGGGCACCCAAGTGGCACCCTGACTGTTCCGCTTGGGACGCATGCCCTGAGGGGAGGCGTGAGCGCCTGGCCTTGGACAGCCCTCAGCTCAGTAACGGGCAGAATACCAGCTGTGCAGCCAGGCCGATGTGGTTGTCAGTGGCTGGAGTGCATTCACTCAGTGTTTGTGCAGGCCTTGGGCCTGGGCACTCAGGCAGGGGACCTACCCTGCAAGGTACAGAGGCCTGGGCTTCAGGAGCAGACCTTGTCTGCCTGCTGACCCAGCCCCAGCTGCTGGAAACGTGCTCTTCCTTCACCTTCCCACTGCCCACCGTGGTTTGGGTTTCATCCCCTGCCTGTCCTGCCCTGATGCCAGTCCTGGGATGAGAGTGGGACTCGGCAGTGGGCTTGGAGACCTGTGTGGTCAGAGGCTCAATCAAAGGCAGGCTGGACTCTGTGGTCCCCATACTCCTCAGCACAGCAGAGGTCCAGCCCAGATCGGTTGTGGGCTGGGTGCTCTTTCAGCGTCAGTCTCCGCATTGGCACGTCTGGCCAGTAGGCGCACGTGTGTCTCAAGAGGAGTCACTGTCCCAGACTGTCTGGCCTGGAATCCCACTGTCATGATGCCCTTCAGGAACAAGGGTACCTATAGGCTGAGAACGAGGCAGGTGGTGAGTGCTGGGGCCTGAGGGTGGGGAGGTTTGACAGAATGTTCAGTGAAAGGACACTGAAGTTCCCACCAAGTGCCAGCTGAGCCCCCTCGGCTGGAGCCAGCCCTCTCTGAGTTGTAATATGCTGTCCAGGACATTAGCCAGTGGGAGTACTATCTGTTGGTCTGAGGCAGAATCAGACCATGCCCGCTTGATACCCTAAGAGTGTCTGGGCCGGAAGGAACAAGAGTATTTGGGTCCTCTGAATGCCCAGGGCATCATGAGAGCTGGGTATTTCTGTCTTGTGAGGGCATCTGATTGTTGTGGGGGCAGGAGCCTGGATGTGGCCAAGAAGAGTCACCGAAAGTCCTAGAATCACCACCACAAGTCCTCGTGCTTGGTCCCTGGGGTGGGGGCAAGGAGGAGATCCAGGACCCCACCTCCCCCTGGTTGACGTACCTGTGTGGACTCAGCTAGGTCGTGCCTGGGGCCCCTTGGAAAGCAGCTGCCCCAGACTGCCCACCACTGTGGTCTGCGGCCTGGTCTGCCGGCTCTGCTTCAGGAGGCTCTGGGATGGAGTGATAGGCTGGGGCCAGTGGTCAGGAGCGTGTTCCTTCCTGTTCTTACCTGTTCGGGCTGAGACAACCCCTGGGGTCCACTGGGCTCCTGGAGAGGGGACGTTAAGAACAACACTGGATGTAGTAGGGGCAGGAAGGCAGACGCTCCTGGCAGAGGGGCCAGTGTGAGCCAAGGCAGTCCTGCCCTACTGATGCCCACCTACCTCACCGCAGGAGCAGAGCCCAGGCAGCCAGGCCTCGCTGGCCACAATGCCGGAGGCGCCCGAGGTGCTGGAGGAGACGGTGACGGTGGAGGAAGACCCTGGCACACCCACCTCCCATGTGTCCATTGTCACATCTGAAGATGGCACGACCCGGCGCACAGAAACCAAGGTACAGCCAGGTCCAGGCGGGTGGGCTCTGCAGGCCACGGTTGTCCTGTTTGTAAATAGGCACATTCACTGGCCACTCGGAAATCCTTCATTGTCCTGGTGGGAAACAGGCCGCCCAGGCAATGTTCAGACCTCTCAGGCCGTCCGCCTATCTTCCAGGTCACTAAAACGGTCAAGACAGTGACCACACGGACAGTGCGCCAGGTGCCTGTGGGCCTGGATGGCCTCCCACTGCTGGATGGGGGTCCCCCGCTGGGCCCCTTCGCTGATGGCCCCCTGGACCAGCACTTCTTGCTGCGTGGCAGCGGCCCCGCGGCCACGCTCTCCCGTGCCTACCTGGGTGGGGGGGGTGGCTTTCCTGACGGCCCTGAGCCACGTGACGGGCCCAGCTACGGCAGCTTGTCCCGTGGGCTGGGCGTGCGGCCCCCCCGCGGTGGTCCCCTTGGTCCAGGCCCCTGCGATGGCTGTTTTACGCTGCCAGGCCGCCGTGAGGCTTTCCCAGCAGGCCCTGAGCCTGTGCTGCCAGGCGGCCGCTCCCTGCCCGAGCGCTTCCAGGCAGAGCCGTATGGTTTAGAGGATGACACGCGCAGCCTGGCCGCGGACGACGAGGGTGGCCCTGAGCTGGAGCCCGAGTACGGCACAGCCACGCGGCGGAGGCCTGACTGCGGCAGGGGCCCTCGCACGAGGTGAGCACTGTTTCCTGCTGCCCCTTCCGCCTCACGCTCCCTCACCACAGAACGCCCCACAGCCGGGTCCACAGGCAGTCAGACTGCCGGAGCTGAGTCAGTCATACACTTCCTGGTATGAGTTGGCCTCTAGGCATTTCTCAAGGAAAGCAGCAAATGGGTCCTGAGATCGGGGAAGTTTGGGCGTCTTCCCTGTGTTTGGGGCTTCACCTGCTGCCCCTTCTCCACACAGACAGCCATGAAGACCTGAGTGCAAAAGACTCGGGCTGTTGCTCTGAGCAGGAAGCCCCAGCCGGACTCCCTGTGCCTCGTTTTCTCTTATGCACAGTCATGACCAGAACCCAGGGCCTCTGCCCCTTCCCGGCTCAGCCCCTAGTTTTGTTCTCTCTCGCCTCAGTTTTTTTTTTTTTTTTAATCTGTAGAGTGGGAACATCATAGCTGGGTCTGGTTCATGCTGAATGACCCTGGACAAATTACCTGACCCTGCCTAGCCTCAGTACGCCTCTGGGAAGTGTGTTTGATGGTGACAACCTACAAGGCTGCTGAGAGTCAAAGACATCTTGTTCCCTGGGGGGCTGGTGGCCTAAATGCCCCTCAGATGCCCCCCCCCACCTCAATCTTCCTTGATCATGAGTTCCTTTTCTGAGTTACATCTACAAATGGAATGGGAGCCTAAAGCCCACTGTTTGGTGAAAGTCAGTATGGGTACCCAAATTAGGAAATAGACAACATGTACAAATTTTAGTGTCAAATTAGCCAGTTGTCCTCATGTGTTTCCCTTTCCTCTAGAAAGGGGTTTTATGCAGATCTTTCAGCCAGTCAAGAAGGCCTCATCTTCTCGATAACAAGGCCGCCCCTGGCAGGCGGTCACTCTGTGAAGAGAAAACACCCTTTGGCTCTGGCTTCCTGTTACCCAGAGGCCACTGGGTTGGTGTGTACAAGGAGAGCTCACCTGCTCCCCTACATCCTGATGCTCATGGGAAGATGAGGCTGTTCTGCAGAAGGGAGTTGGTCCCCCCAACGTACCTAGACATTGCAGGGAGAGGCATTTAGCTCAGAGCCTGGTGACGGGAGTGAGTGAACTCCCAGTGGCCATTGGCTGGGTTTGGCCTGTTATTGGCTCTGTCTGTTGGTTTTTGCTCGGCTGGGCCCTGGCTGTTGACTCCACCTCATGCCTCGGACCAGGAGTGCAAATGTTCTTCAAGTTCACAACCTCCCGAGGAGCTGTGACAGGGGCACTCGGGCAGGCTGGGGGCTGCCGAAGATGTTCACACCCCGCTTGCCTGCACAGGCCCTACGAGGACGTAGTGGAAGATGCCAGCGAGCTGCTGGATGAGCGGCCTCCGTTCCCGACAGTGACGGCGCCCCTGGCGCAGCCTGAACGAGGCAGCCTGGGCAGCCTGGACCGGGTGGTGCGGCGGTCACCCTCAGTCGACAGTGCCCGCAAGGAGCCGCGCTGGCGGGACCCCGAGCTGCCTGAGGTGCTGGCCATGCTGCGGCACCCGGTGGACCCTGTGAAGGCAAACGCGGCCGCCTACCTGCAGCACCTGTGCTTTGAGAATGAGGGTGTTAAGCGTCGCGTGCGGCAGCTGCGGGGGCTGCCGCTGCTTGTGGCGCTGTTGGACCACCCACGGGCAGAGGTTCGGCGCCGGGCCTGTGGGGCACTGCGCAACCTGTCCTATGGCCGGGACACAGACAACAAGGCCGCTATCCGGGACTGTGGTGGCGTGCCTGCCCTGGTGCGCCTGCTGCGGGCCGCCCGGGACAACGAGGTTCGTGAGCTGGTCACAGGTGAGCAGGCACCCGGCCAAGCCTGCTTCCCCCAAGGAGAGAGGAGAGCAGGATTTGGCCTGGGAAAGGTGGGACCACATGAAGTCTCCAGCCAGCAGGGCTCTTCCTGTTAGTCCAACAGCCTGGGTGGCGTGCCCCGGGTGGCAGGTGGCAGGTGGCAGGCACAGGCTGATGAGCTTGTCAGCCCATCCTACTCTATGTCTGGGCTTTCCTGCATGGGCAGGGCTGGGTTTGGGCCCCTCAGGCAGGTCCCTCACCTGCCCTGTGCCCGCACAAGCCCCCCCAAGACCATTCTTCCTCACTGTCATCCACCTGACTATGTCCCGGTTGGAATTGTGTCTGTGGGAGCTAACGGCTACGTGGGAACATCTCTGGCTAATCCCTGTGGCCCGAGGAGAGTGAGTCCCACCTGCCCACATGGCTAGGAAAGGAGGCGGCGGCAGCAGCACCCCCTTCATCCCCAGCCCCTTTGGAGATCCCTTCCAGCTAGGCCTAGGTCAGGGACCCAGCACCTCTCTCACTTTTTGTCACTTCCTGTCTTCCATCTGAGCTGGGGCGAGACGGGGGCGGGGAGGGCAGGTTCCGAGTGGTGTGCAGGCTCAGCACTGGTCAACGCACTCCACAGGCACGCTCTGGAACCTGTCGTCCTACGAGCCCCTGAAAATGGTCATCATCGACCATGGCCTGCAGACGTTGACTCACGAGGTCATTGTGCCTCACTCAGGCTGGGAGCAGGAGCCCAATGAGGACTCAAAGCCACGGGATGCTGAGTGGACCACTGTCTTCAAGAACACATCAGGCTGCTTGAGGTGTGGGCAGGGGGCGGGGCCAGGCTGTTCAGTGTGGACGAGGGGCGGGAATGTGGTGTGGGCTTCAGAGCCATATCCCTCCCTGTGTCCTGAGAACAGGGCATCCTCTGGACAAGGCTGGCAGTCTCCCACTCTCCTCCCTTACCCCACAGCTCCAGCCCTGGCCACTCCTCCCATCACCATGACGACTAGGGGTAGGGGGGTACGGCCCTTGGCTCCTACCTGCCTTGGAGGCCTCATCTCACTTCCCCATGATTTCTGCCCCATCCCATCCCTAGGTGACCTACAGAGACCTTGCAGCCAGGGTCCTGGATCCCCATGGGACTGCTTTTTGTCAGGATGTACCCCCACAGTGCTGTGTCTCAGCCCAGAGCTGCCTGCAGTGGGGAGTCAGAGATCACCCAAACACAGACCTAGGCTCTGGCCCCCACCTCTGTCCCTTTCCAACATAACTGGGGAGTTGGGGGACCCACCTCTCTGATAAGAGATGCCAGGCTGGGGTCCAGACACTGAGATCTCTAAGGGACCAGGCCACTGCTGCCCCACTGTCACTGTGCTTCAGACAGGCATCTCCCAGTAGCCTCAGCAAGGCAGCACCAGGCCCACTTTATAGAGAAGGCAAGACCATGTGGCCATCAGGGAGGACTGGGAGTGCCTGTGGAAGCCAGGGCTCACCGGGTTTGCTTGGCCCTCCCAGGAATGTGAGCTCGGATGGCGCGGAGGCCCGGCGGCGCCTCCGCGAGTGTGAAGGGTTAGTGGATGCACTCCTGCACGCACTGCAGTCAGCTGTGAGCAGGAAGGACACGGACAATAAGGTGTGCAGGGTCGGGTGGGCATCAGTGGGGTGGCCACACTCAGGGAAGTCCCAGGCATGGCAAAGACCTTCAATACCCAGTGTCCCAGCTTCTCACAGAGGGCATGAGGCCCTGGGTGGCACAGGGGTGGCTATGCAGGTCTGGCAGAGCCTTCCTCCCAAGCTCCCCTGAAAGTGGTCCTGGCCCAGGCCTCCATGTCTCTGCTCCAAGTCCCCTTGCTGCGTGCAGCCTGTGGCCAGCCACTCCCAAGTACGCACTCCATGCACAGGCTCGGGAGGCCCAACCCTACCATCTACCCTTCTCCCCACAGTCAGTGGAGAACTGTGTGTGCATCGTGCGGAACCTGTCCTATCATGTGCACAAAGAGGTACCTGGCGCCGAAAGGTACCAGGAGTCTGAGCCCGGGCCCCCGGGCGGTGCTACGAGCTCCCAGCGCAGGAGGCGGGATGATGCAGGCTGCTTCGGAGGCAAGAAGGCCAAAGGTGGGTGGGTGGGTGGGACTAAGATTGGGCTCAAACCCGTGTCAGGCAGGCATGTAGCCAGAGGCTACCTGGGCAGCCTGTTGGGCAGGTAGGAAGTCAAGGATGGTACATGACCCTGGGTCACACAGCTGACAGGGTGCAGGGTTAATACCCTGCTTTCCCCCATCAGCACTGTGGGGCTCTCAGTGAAAGGTAGGAAGAAGCACGTGGCAGCCTCTTGGGGGCCTCTGGACCCAGCCCCTCAGCTACTGGGGACAGGCTTCTGTGGGCCCATCGGCCTGGGAAACTGCAGTTGATGCTGCTTCCTGGCTGCACCTAGAGCCCATAAAGGCCCTGACAAGGCCTGTAGGGCAGAACTCTGTTCCACCCTGAGCTGGACCTGATGTTCATGCCGTACCCACTGGCACTTGTGGGGTGTCAGTGGCCTGCATTCCGCAGCTGTCATGGGGCACCTGAACACTGCCTGCACCTGAGCTCTGGCCCACCAATTGGGGCCTTTTCTTACCCCAGGCCTCCCCTCACTTGTCTCACTACATGGGTACTCGGCAGGTAATTGGGGTGAGGGTCCGCATTCCGCCTGCCTGACCCAGGGTCTGCAGTGGGAGCTCAGGACCTCGGGAGGGTCTGTGGGGGGTGCTGCCCCTGCTCAGCCTCATCTCCTCTCTCCTGTGCTTCCTCCGGCCGCCCAGAGGAGTGGTTCCATCAAGGTGAGTCCCTGTTTCTCCTGCTGTCCAGGCCTGGTGGGTGCAGCGGGCACCCAGGAGGCAGCCCAGTCCCATTGCTCCACAGTTGTCTCCAGGACAACTCTAGGACTGCAAGTGCACTGGGCAGCCAGAGGCGGCCCCAGCCTCAGGGCCCTGTGCCACCCCCATCACCTGGGTAGCTGTCTCCATGACAACTGCATGGCCATGCCAGCTGTAGGAATGCAGGCCTGGTTGGGAGGCTAAGGGGCCCACCCCTCTGCAACCTCACTCTGGGCCAGGGCTAGGGCTGGGTTGTGTCCACCACACACGAGCCCTTGCAGTGGAGTGGGGCTGTGTGTGGCTCAGCACAGATAAGACGGGTTAGGTGAGGGCCAAAGAACAAGATGCATTCTCATCTGAGTTAGAAAGGGCATGGGAGGAGCAACTCGCTGTCACAGAGATGACACTTGGTCTGTGGGTGGGGTCCGTCTAGACTGGAAAAGACATACCCTTTGCTGGGGTTCCTTGAGTGTCCTGTTTCACTGTGAGACCCAATCAAGTCCTGTCCCTACCAGCGTTCAGTTAGCCCGTTTGTAGGGGCTGCTCAGCTTGGGCTCCTTGCACTCTTGGTTCATACCTGGCAGCTCATAGGAGCTGTCAGGGTTTCAAGGATGGCTCTCAGCACTTAATAGGGATGGGTCCTAGGTGCTCTGGGCAGGGCTGGGCTGTCTCACACCAGGCTGACCTGTGAGAGGCCTGCACACAGCTCGCTACGCCCACGGCCCTGGACCCTGTCCTGGACACAGGGTGCTCTTTGGGTGCTGCCTTGTAGAGGACTGTGCCTTGACCCTCCTACCTGTACCCTCCCCCCACAGGGTCTGCCTCACCACTGGCTATCCTTCCCTTCCAGGGAAAAAGGACAGTGAGATGGACCGGAACTTTGACACGCTGGATCTGCCCAAGCGAACCGAGGCTGCCAAAGGTGAGCAAACGGAAGCAGAGACGGGCCCAGACCGGTCAAGGTAGTGGCATTTTGTGCTGCCAAGCAGGTCTGGAGGGCCTTGGGGATTAGATAGAGAAATGGGGGCCCACAGGTATGGTGTTCCCCAGGGGACCATGCAGTCCCTGGATACCAGATGAGGTCAATGTCATGAGTCGCCTTAATCAGGGCGAGTCCAAGAACTTGTAGAAAGCCATATAGTACATGAGAGGCAGGGTCAGAATTGGGGCAGAGTGACCAACGAAGGGTGAGGGGCCAGCCAGGCAGGGCCCAGTGTCAGCTGAGGAGCTCAGGCCCGGTCCAAGGGGGGCTGGGAGTCAGGGAGGGCACGGTCAGACGCAGATGGATACGAGCCAGAGGGATAGGACTGTGTATGGATTCACACGGGCAGGACGGGCCATCCCTCACATCGCGTGTGTCTGTGGGGCCCTCTTGTGGGCTGGCAGCGCTCTGCACACTGGTCATCCAGCCTGAGAGGGGTCGGTCCCAGTGGCCCTCAGCCTCTTGAGCCCCTAGCCCCAACCAGCCATGCCACTGGGGTGATCCAGATGCCAACACGTGGAGTGGGGGGCCCAGCCATGGGCAGAACATTACAGGCAGAGGGGTAGCCAGAGCCAAGGGCCTGAGAAGGGCTGCTGGGAGTATTTGGAGAACAGGAAGCCCAGAGGCAACAGCGCAGGGAGGCAGGCTGGGGACCAGCTAATTAAATGGGAGGAAGTGAGACAGGAGATGGAGGTGGCTGGGTGCCGGCCAGAAGCCTCAGGCGGGGCAGGCGGGCTTGGAAGGCTCCCTCAGCCCCATCATGGCCGGTACACTGTGCCAGCACCATACTGGGGCAGCTTTGCCCCTTGGAGATTCAGGAGTGGTTGCCAGAGACCCCAGTTTTGTTAGGGGAAAGGCAGGTTGCAGGAGGGTTCTCGCTGCCAGGCTGGTCTGGGCCCATCTCTTTGGCAGCAGGGTTAAGGGAGGAAGGACCTCACCTGGCCCCATTGCCTCCTCTCTGAGCCTCAGTTTGCCCCTCAGTGACAAGGGAATGCTTTCCCCTTGGGTGACTGTAAGGGGTAAGTTCAACATTCCCTGACCGCGCCACACCCATCCCTGGCCACAGCGCACCCCAGCCCTGGGAGCACTGATGGGTGGTGACAAGTAGGGAGGTTCTGGGTGACTGTGGGTGGCGGGTCCCCTGTATGCAGGCTTTGAGCTGCTGTACCAGCCCGAGGTGGTACGACTCTACCTCTCTCTCCTCACGGAGAGCCGGAACTTCAATACTTTGGAGGCTGCCGCAGGCGCCTTGCAGAACCTCAGCGCTGGCAACTGGACGGTGAGAGGCTGGGCTGGCAGGGAGAACAAGAAGGGAAACGAGAGAGGGAATCTGGACCCCTACCCGCTGGGGAGTGGCAAACTGCAGCACCTTCCCAAAGCTGGGGAGAAGGATGCCTTGGGGTGGGGTGGGAGCTTGGTGGAGATGCCCTTGAGCTGCTGGGAAGGGTTGTTTCTGTCAAGGGAGGTCAGTGGAGCTGAAGGGAAGGGCCAGGAGGGGGCAGGGGGACGGTGGTAGGGCGAAGGGCCCCACCGAGCGCCCTCCACCGCCTTCGCAGTGGGCCACGTACATCCGCGCCACTGTGCGCAAGGAGCGCGGGTTGCCCGTGCTGGTGGAGCTGCTGCAGTCGGAAACCGACAAGGTGGTGCGCGCCGTCGCCATTGCCCTACGCAATCTCTCGTTGGACCGGCGCAACAAGGACCTCATCGGTGAGGACTCCAGGCGGGTGCAGAACGGGGCAAGTGGCTCTTGGATCAAGTTTGGGGTCCAAGTTTGGTTCGGTGATTCAGCCCCCCAAACTTGCCTTGTCTCGGAGGCTCCGCCCTCTCCTTACTGGGTTGTTTCTTTGCACCTCTCCTGACTGCTGCTGCTCCCGGCTGGAGCGGGCGGGGGCGTGTCCTAACACTCTTGCCCCACCCCCAGGGAGCTACGCCATGGCGGAGCTGGTGCGGAATGTGCGCAATGCGCAGGCGCCGGCACGACTTGGGGCACATCTGGAGGAGGACACGGTGGTGGCTGTGCTCAACACCATCCATGAGATCGTGTCCGACAGCCCGGACAACGCGCGCTCGCTGCTGCAGGCCCGCGGCGTGCCTGCGCTGGTGGCACTCGGGGCAGCCAGGTGGGCGGGGCAGATCCGCGGGGGCGGGGCGGGTGGGGTCCGGGGCGGGGCCGGGCGTTGACATCGCCTGGGACCTGGCTACAGCCAGTCGGCGCGGGAGGCGAAGGCGGCCTCGCACGTGCTGCAGACGGTGTGGAGCTACAAGGAACTGCGAGGTGCTCTGCAGAAGGAGGGCTGGACCAAGGCCCGCTTCCAGGTAAAGTCGCCGCCTCTGCCAAACTGAGTGTGCTCTCGCCCCCTTCCTATCGGTTAGCAGAAGCACCGACGACCTCACCTCATGATTGTGTATTGTTGCTCCCCAGTCAGCTGCTGCCGCTGCCAAAGGACCCAAAGGAACACCAAGTCCAGGGGGTTTTGACGATAGCACGCTGCCGCTGGTGGAGAAGAGTGTGGGTGAGTACAGCCGCGGGGTGTGTGTCCAGGACCTCATTTCAAGGTCTAAGAGCAGTACTGCGCCCACTCATACTGATGGTGGGCATAGAGTGGACAGAGACTGAGGTTCTCGTCTTCTCCTTCTTGTCTCTGTGCCCTACCTGCCCTCTGTGTCTGTGGGTTGCAAGCTGAAGGGGTGGGCCATGTGTAAAGAGGTGCATTGACCTTAGTGGAAGAGGGCAGCTCAGGGTCTCTGTAGGCCCCTGTGGCCACTGCTGGCACCGACCTGTGTGTGTCTTGCAGATGGGGAGAAGCCAGGGAGCCGGGATGTGATCCCCATGGATGCGTTGGGTCCAGGTAAGTTTAGGGGCAGGGCTGCTTCTTTCTTATGTGGCAAGGAGGGACTGGAAGCAGGTGGATGGTTTGCGGAGTAAACGCATTGTTGGGTGTGGTGAAGTCAGGTCTGGCCAGGGATGAGAGATCTAGTTTAGGATCTGGTAGGGTGTGAAGGGCAGCCCAGGGCTTCTTGTTGATCTCTGCTAGCTGCATGCTGTGTCTCCCTGTGTGCCCCACTAGCCCACACACCCATCTTAGGGAAGGACAGACCGAGTTGCCTGCTGTGGGGAGGCTTAAGGGTTCCAAGCCACATTGGGAACCAGCAAGGGGCAACATGTCCAGACCATTATGAGGCAGGGGGTGGAGAAAGCTGGTCAGGGGCACAGGCCTCTAGGTGGGTGAGAGTGTGTCATTCTCAAAGGGCCCTCCGGGGTGGGGGTAAAGAGAAAATTCTGCCCAGAGTTCCATTTACCACCCCCCCATCCCACAGATGGGTACTCCACCATCGACCGGCCAGGCCGAAGGTCCCGGGGCAGTGAACCTTCAGGAGAGGTCTTCCAGAAGGAGCCCTTGAAAGTGAGCAGCAAGTCTGGGAAAGGGGCCCAGGTGGGAGGCTGACTTTGGAGTTGGCCCTGGGGCCGTCCAGAGCAGAGGTCATCTGCGGGGCTGTGGGTTGTGGGGCCAGGGAGCTCTCAGGTTCTGGCTTGGGCTCGGATGCCTCACATACCTAGGATGGTTCTAGTGGAGTTCAGTCTTTGGGTGCTGCCACCTACTGGGAGGGAGGGGGTATGGGTCAGAGAGGGCCACTTGGTGAGGCCTTAGAGGGCGGCCGTGAGCAAGCGTGTCTTCGCTTTCTCTGCATGTATGTCCGTGAGCAAAGGGCCCCTGTGGCCCCACCTGGCCCCTGCTCTGTGCCAACCTCCTGGCTTCATATGGGGCTGTGTATGTCCATGCATCACGCGTGTTTGTGTGAACCTCACTTGCCCATCTTCCCTAACCCTCCAGTGCTCCCTTTGGGACTACCTTGGCAGCCCATCCTTATCCCCACCCCTGTCCCTCCCTTGCCCCCAGGGACCAAACCAGCCCCCTCCCATCAACTCCCCTAACCTGCTCTGTTCTGCTTTTAACACCCTCCTGCTACCCCTGTCCGCTGCAGCCCGACCCTGGCAGGAATGCCCCTCCTCCTGGTCCCAGCAGGGCCACGGTCAGGCTGGTGGATGCCGTGGGGGACGCTAAGCCTCAGCCCGTTGACTCCTGGGTCTAGCTTGCATGCCTGGTACGTTCTCTTGTCTGGTTGTTCGTCCACCTGTCCATCTTCTGGGCCCAGGGCTTCTTGTTGATCTCTGCTAGCTGCATGCTGTGTCTCCCTGTGTGCCCCGCTGGCCCACACACCCATCTTAGGGAAGGACAGACTGAGAAGGAGAGTCCCTCGGTCCCATCCCAGGAACTATGGGATCTGCTGCCCAAGGAGACAGGGCCAGATCAGGGATGGTCCCCATATCCTTAAATGCCCTCAGTACAGGGGCCTATGAGGACCAGCAAGTTGGAACGGACCTTGATGCTAAGAGCCTCAGGTTGGTCCACGCCTCCCCCAGCAGCTGTGGGTGAGCAGAGGGGTCCGTCTCTGCTCCTGTGCACACCTTGGTCGGAACCCCCCCGAAGAGCTCCGGTCAGCTCGTCCTATGAGTGCTGCCCACATCTCCACCCACCTGTGCAGGCAGTACCCCGTGCTGCCCAGCCACCCTGCCCAGTGGTCACACCAGCCAGTCCTGGGGCCTGCAAGCCAGGCCACCTGCCTGTGCTCACGGCTGCAACACCTACCTTCCCCCCCTTTCCCTCCTCAGGACTGAGGCCCAGCTGTTTGTTCTTAGGAATTTTTACCATGGGAAGAACGGGATCTCCAGGGCCGCTGAGCAGACACTGCTGTGGATTGTGAGCCCCCTGGACGCAGGGGTTGACAGTGCCTCTTCTGGCCTTCCCCCACCAGCCAGGGCTGGGCCTTCCAGAGAAGCCGTCTCCCCGAGCTCCTCCTTCCTTCCACTCTCCCTGACTCCTTAGGCCCCACGTTAGATATTTACTGACATGGTGCTGTGTGAGAGAAAAGGCCAGGGGGGCCCCAGGAAGGTAGCCTGCTTAGTGGGTGACAGAGTGACCAGGAGAGGGCTCCTGGTGTAGAACTAGGCGAGTGTGCGCTCGTGCACAGTGGCTGTGCGAGGCCTGCAGGGCCTGGATCCAGGTGTGCAGGTGGCCATGGCCTTGGAGGGTGAGGAGCAGGACATGCAGAGGAGGTGGTGGGGTTCCCCAGGCCCCCGAGTCCCACCCTGTACAGCAGGCAGCCCACACAGCTGCTGTGAAGAGCCTGGCCCTGCAGAGAGGCTCTGGAGGCAGTGAGTGGGATCGGGCTGTGGGGGCCTCCCGCCCTGCCCTGGGAGCCCTGCCCTGGGGGCCCTGTCCTGGGGGCCCCGCCCTGGGAGCCCGGTGGAGGCCGAGTCCCAAGCAGTGGAACCCTTTCCTGAACTGACTCAGGCCCCGTGGGATGTGCTGCGGCAGCTACCCAGGCCGTACCACAGCGCCTCTGGGACTGGCCTCCCGCTGCACCGGGGGCATCGCTGTTCAGTGCCTGCTGTTTGAAACTTAACGAAACAGAAGAAAAACACTGACAAAAATATTAAAACCAAAATAAGATTGTATTGGTAACCACCTAGGTTTTTCAGGAAATTTTGAAAAATTAAAAAAAGCAAAGGAACAACTTTCTTCTGTTGCTGCAGTCTCTCCTCCTCCAGACAGAGGCCGCCGTTTGCCTGGGTGGGAATGGGCAGACCCAGCCACCAGGTGTCCCTCTGCTGGCCTGGCCCACTCTGCACCTTCCAGACTGGGCCTATGGGCGTCCCACATACACACGTGCTCCCAGGGTTGCTGTCAGTCCCCTCCCAAAGGCAAGTGGAGGGACTTCTTGGACCCTGAGCTCAGGGGCACTGTCTCGGCCTGAGGTTGCTCTGGCACACATTGGCCAGGCTTTGATCTCCAAACCGAGTCTAGAAATGGTGATGGTGCCTGGGGGCCAGTGAGCAGGGCAGACCACTCTGGGGAGCTGGGGTCAGAGGCCCAGGTGGGAGCTGGGAGAACTGTGGATTCAGGTAAGATGTGGACCAGGTGCTGCATCACTTGCCACCTGAGCGATCCACAGAGGTGCCATGGGCTCGGCACCCACTGCTTCTTACGTAAATGAGGCTGGTTGGACCAAAGAGGCGACGCTTCAGCACGATGCTGCGTGCAGGTGCAGAGACGAAGGTGTCACCACCCCTAACCTCTGCAGTGCCTGCTTGGGCAGAGACGGGTGCCGAGGGCTGGCCGACTGTCCTGTTTTGGTTTCCTAAGCGAGAGGGTCTCCAGATGAGGCCCACCCCAAACCCGTGGCATCCTTGTGGAGCTGGAACAGGTGCCCCGTCCCATCACTGCTGGTGACTGGGCACCCGTTGGGCCACATGTGACACTCAGAACCCAGCCAGCCAACGAATGGCTGGTAGCAGCATTAGTGTCAAGAACAGTGTGTTTGATGCCAAAGCCAAAAGCACCAGAGGCAGGAACAGTACGGTGGTTGAGAAGAACGACGGCAAGTTCATCTCTTGTATCTAAACGTGTAAGCAGTTTTAATTTCTATTTTTCATCTTTTAAACATGATAATGGTAAGATTATTACAGGTACCTGTTCTTAGTAAAGTGATCAAGTTATATTCTTAAAACTCAGCTGTGTGCTTATGAGTTTGTGGTCCAAGTGCTATCACTGAGGCGTTGCTGCCATCTGGTGATGGTGATCTTTGAGGACAGACTGAGTACACCCCTGACCAAAACCAAACCCAACCCACTGCTATGGGGTTGATTCTGACTCAGAGAGACCCTACAGAACAGAGTAGAAATGCCCCCATAGGGTTTCCAACATGGTTATGGAAATAGACTGCCTCATATTTGTCCCATGGATCAGCTGGATTTCAACCAGACCTTGCGGTTAGTAGCTGAATGTTAGCCACTATGCCACTAGAGCTCCTACACCCCTGACAGTTTTCAAAAATTCCCAACTCCCCTCCTCCACATCCTGGATATCTGTTAGCCTGAGGACCTGCCCACAGGAGCCAGACATAAAAGAAACCATCTCAAAATGCCTGTGCAGTGAGTAGGCACTGCCTTGAAGGTGTTCCAGTTCATTTATTGTAAGTAAAACCCCAGATTCATTACAGTAATTTTGTACTGTGTGTCCCATGTGCTCTGTGATGAACCAGCGTGACAGTTTGATACAGCAGTGGAGAAAGGCAGGACTTGGGCCTCCCTCCCTGGCCTGCGGTGTGTATAGACCCCAAGAACCACAGAAATAGCAAAGTGTGTCCGTTGTGCCCTGGTGCAGGCTTGGTGAGGGACCCTGGGACAAAGTGGGCAGTCAGGGCTGCCGCAGGCCCCCCACGCCTGGGCCCACATAAACGGCCTTCTCCAGGCCATCCACTTCCTGTGAGTACTCTAGGTGTGAGCTGTAATGTGTACACTCGAAGTGGCTGCTTCTGCGCACGTGTGCCAGGAAGTCTGGTGCTCCTGGGACGATGACGTTGTCAGCCAGCAACACTGTCCCATTCCGCAACAGGCCACACTCCTGCAGAGCACAGGCGGACAAAGAGGAGAAGGTCAGGCGTGGCCAGAGAGCCCACCCCAGACGTCGGGAGGGCGGCGGCTCCTGCACGCACGTGGTACCTCTGGCCTGTGACCTGGCTCCTCTCTGTGCAGGTCCCTCTGCCACACAATCAAAGAGGCCCTCCTCCACTCTGTCTGGCAGCGACCACTGCCAGGAAGGGTTGTGGGGAGGGCAAGTCCAGGCTACAGAAATCCATTCTTCCATTTGCTCCCGGATCCCCAGTCTCTAGGACAGTGTACGGCACACAGTAGGTGCTCAAGAAATGCTTGCTGGAGGAGTGAGTGTAGGACTTGGTGGGGCTGGGTTCAGGCCACTGTACCAACCCCAAGGTCAGCGGGTCCCTCACACGCCATGCAGGAACACGTAGCTCTTCCAACTGAGAGGTGCCTGGGGCCTAGGCGTGTGGCCTGCCGGGGCAGTAATGGATATGTGACCTGGGGAGCCCAGGTGCCCAGTCTGGCCTGACCAGGGTGCCGCTGCAGGGCTGAGGCAGCAGGGAAGAGAAGGCCCCTCGGGTCTGCTCTGGCCACCCCAAGCCCCTGTTTTTCCAGACACTTCATGTCCTGCAGTGCCTGGGGCCCTGAGAGGGCGCCTGGGGCCCTGAGAGGGCGCCTGGGTCAGAGAGGCAAACAGGATGGCCCGCACATCTTAGCCTGGGCTCTGTGTAGGAAAGAAATGCCACTGGGGAAGTAACTTCCAGGGCATGTGGTTAGGGGAGGAACTGCGTACAGGATGTGTGACTTCTCTGCAATGTGGCAAGAAGGGGGTTTCTGCTTAGGTTAGACAAAGCAACAGAGAACCTTGCAAGGAAGCATTTATCTGTGAGGGAGGGACAGGCCTGGGTGAGGAGTAAGCAGACATCCTCCAGTAGCCTTGTACCGTAGATTTGACTTTGGAGGCATGGAACTTTTTTTACATAATCATACAAATTGAAAAATGAAACACTGAAAGCAAAGTCAAAACCAACAGCCTTAGTCACTGGTCTGACCCCTCAGAATGACTGCTTGGAGTCACTCCAGAGAGAGCCCCTCAACACCAACAGGTCTTTCGGGGTCTTCATACTCCTGGTGGTGGTGCAGTCCCACCAGCCTGCTGCAGCCTGCATAAGGCTGATGAGGCCAGAGCATGGAAAGTAGCCCAGCAGTTAGGTCATGAGGTTAAGGGCCCCCTGGGGTCCTGAATTCAGTAAGACTACAGGTATGGATTGTGATGTATTTTATCTTTTTTTTCCTTAACAACAAAAAAAAAAATCTCGTGGTGTGTAGTGCCTAAGGCACTTGACTGCTAACCAGAAGGTTGGCGGTTCAAACCCACCAACTATCCTCAGAAGGTTGGGTAATCTACTTCTGTAGTGATACTGCCTCGGAAACCCAAGGAGGGGTCGCTATGAGTCACGTCCAACTTGAGGGCAGTGGGTTTGGTGTTGGCTTGGTGTTGGCTGAAAAGGTCTAGCTCGAGCAGTCAGCAGCCCAGGGGCAGCACACGTGCGCCTTGAGGGCTGGTTTGGGGCAGAAAAGGGGCAAAATGAGCCCCGAATAGTTCCAGGACTACTAAAGTGATACCAGAAGGACCTGAGAGCCACCTGAAGAGGTACCACTGGCAGCCACGGCAGGGACAGCGTGACCGTCGGCATGACTGGTGACTCAGTGGACTGAAAGAAATCAAACATTAAGGATCCTCGAGCTAATCATGAAAGGAGAAAGCACGTTGGCTACCGGGACTCCACTTGTCATTTTGAAAACTGGCCACTAGGAGGGTGAAGGCGTCCGTCCATTCTGCTCCCCTACCCTCACCCCTCGCCAGGCCACGTGCCTCCTGACGAAAGGATGCAGTCCACCCACCTGGAGAATGTGGACAAAGCAGGCATTGAGATCTGAGCAGGCCACAGAGCTAGGCCCTGAAGAATATCATGCCGGGTAAGTGGAGGGTCAACAAGGAAGGGAAAGGCCCTCAGGGAGATGGACTGGCCAGCGGCCCCAGTGATGGCTCAGGTATAGCAAGGACTGCGAGGGCGGCCCAGGACCAGACGGTGCTTTGTCCTGTTGTACGTAAGGTCTGTACAATTTGGAGCCAACTCAACGGCACCTGACAGCAACACCACCACTAACCTCAGTGTTGGCAGTTCAGACTCACCTGGTGGTGCCACAGAAGAAAGGCCTGGCGACTGTGTCCACAAAGATTCCACACATAGAGTCACACTGTGGAGCAGGCAGCTCTGTTCTCTTAACATCTGGGGTCACGGTGAGTTGGAATCAACTCAGCAACAGGTTTGGTCATTTTTACGTTGTGAGGATACTCAAGCAGCCTGTGGGACACCTGAGTGACCAGGCCTGGGGCCTCTGAGCAGCCAGCCTTGAGTCCTGAGTTGCAGCCTGCCCTCTGCTGCCCCCTTGCCTTCCTGTTCTGACTGTGCGCACAGTGCAGGCTGCGGGAGCGGCGAGTGGATCTCCACGGAGGCCCGCCCGCTCTCACCCAGCGGACGCCACGGTGCTGCCCAGCGCCAGCAGCAGGTCTCAGGAGGGGTGGAGTTTAAAATCTAAAGCCATTTCCAATTCACGACTTACCTTCTTTCAAGATAATTACCCACTTTGAAAAAAAGCAACACCGAGAAAACTACTAGTTTCCTAGTTACTGAGCTGCAATATTTGCTGCTTTGCTATAAATACAGGCCCCTTAATTACCCTGCAAGGAGCTCTGGTAGCATAGTGCCTAAGGCACTTGACTGCTAACCAGAAGGCTGGCCGTTCAAACCCACCAGCCACTCCTCGGAAGGAAGGTTGGGCAATCCTACTTGCGTAGTGATACTGCCTCGGAAACCCAAGGAGGGGTTGCTATGAGTCGGGGCCGACTAGATGGCAAATAACAAGAACAACACAATTACCCTGCAAGGAGCTCTAGTAGCATAGTGCCTGAGGCATTTGACTGCCAACCAGAAGGCTGGCAGTTCAAGCCCACCAGCCACTCCTCGGAAGGAAGATGGGACAATCTACTTCCATAGGGATACTGCCTTGAAAACCCAAGGAGGGGGTCACTATGAGTCGGATCTGACTTGACGGCAGTGAGTTTGGTTTGGGTTTTTTAATTACCATGCACAGAGCTCTGGTGTCATAGTGCCTAAGGCATCTGACTGCTACCCATAAGATTGGTGGTTCAAACTCACCAGATGCTCCTTGGAAGGAAGATGGGGAAATCTACTTCCGTAAAGATTTACTGCCTAGGAAACCCAATGGCGGTTGCTCTGAGTCGGAACTGACTCGATGGCAGTGAGTTTGGTTTTTTTGAAACTACGATGCAGGTCCCACCCTGCCGTGTGCAGCCCCTGGGTGGATCTCTGGTAGGCCACAAGATTCTGTGCCCTCAAAAGCTGACTGCCAGTTCTGTGCCCCTGGGGTGGGGAGGCCTGGCCCTGCCCTGCCCTGCCCCGCCCCAGAGTGCTCTCCACAGCTGCCTTTTGCAGATACTGGTTCCATCCCTTCCATATCCAGGCCACCATGGGTCCGTTCTGGCCAGGCGCCCAGTCGTGGCTCAGGCAACTGTCCCCCTTGCACTCGCAGTGCCATAGTGCTTAGCGGAACATCCTGCACGTGCCAGATGGACAACTCGGGGACAGCCCTGGCTAACTGCTGGGTGGGGTGCTGGCAGCAGGAACAGTAGCCCAGCCCCTGGTGGGAGGGTTGCAAGTCTTCTGTTGCCTTAGCCTGGCTGCCCAGGATGAGGACAAGTGACAAGTGATCAGTATGAAATGCCAGGTGTCAGTTTATGAAAGGCTCACCCAAGGCCCTAGGCTCTGCCCACCTGAGGACAGGCCCCAGCCTCACCAGGGAGGCACGGTCAAGCCAGGGCCTCAGAGTCCTCACTGGGAGGGGCTGGGTGAGCCCCCGAGTCAGGAGAGCAGGTGACACTGCCAAAGCTGTTTTTGCTTCTCAAGAAACGGTCTCCCACTGTCTCACAGGCAGGAGCCATGTCTCAGGGGCTCTGGTGCTGCAGGGGCTAGAGCATTTGACAGCTAACCAGAAGGCTGGTGGTTCAAACCCACCAGGTAGCAATCTACTGTAAAGACTGACCACCTTGGAAACTCAGTGGGGGTTGCCCTGAGTTGGAATGGACCCAGGGGTACTCGGTTTGGTTTCTTTTTTCGGTCTCATAGGCCAGGAGTTCCTTTGGCCCAGGCATTCTGCCTGGTTGCGTTCACTCCCCCACCTCCTGCACCTCAGAGGGTCCTGCCCCCTCTCCACCACCAGGGCGCCTCACCAGCTCAGGCTGGCACTGCATGACCTCAGCTGGCTGCACCGGCCCTGGCCCCAGTGCCCTCTGCACGGGCCCCTCCCCCATACATCTCCACCTGTGCCCCGGGGCTACCTGTGGGGCTCAAACTCCTTGACCGCACGTGTCAGTCTGCCAGGCCGAGGGCTCTCCCTTGTGGCTGGGCATCCCAGGACCACACGGGGCGAGGCTTTGGCCTGGGCGCCTGCTCTGCAGAGGGGCCGGAGGCAGACGACGGGGTCAGACCCAACGCCACAGGTGCCCAGCAGCAAGCACAGGGCAGGGGCTGCACTCAACTCACCTCCAGGAGGAGCGTGTCTGGCAGGTACCGGTCCTTCCAGTGATCGAGGAAGACCATGTCCAGGGTGTCTACGTCGTGTTTCTTTTTCAGCTGGGGGATGACGTCCTGGGATGCCCCAACCAAAACTGTTACCTAGAAAATGAGGGTCCCCTCACTGCCAAGCACCTCTGTCCCTCCTGCCCCCGACAGTCCTACCCAGAGAGCTCACAGGGGCAGAAAGGAGAAGACACCCAGCTCAGTCCCCACCCTGTCTGCGTAGGCTTGGGAGTCTGGCTCTGTAGGGCAGGGCACCAGAACACCCTTACAGAGCTGGGGGGTGACCTGAAACCACTCTGGGAAGCCCTCGGAGGCATGCAGGCGTCCGCTGGCCTCTATTCACCCACCCTGCCCCCGGCCTCAGCACCGACCTCCGGAACACTGGACTGAGGAAGGTGCGAGGCGAATGCAGTACCTTGTCCTGCAGGCCGGCAAACTCCAGCATCTGCCGGGTGATGGCGGCGTAGGCAGGGTTGAGCTCAACGGTGAGCAAGCGGGCGGCAGGCGGCAGCAGGCGGGCCACGCGCACGGCCGAATAGCCGCAGTAGGCGCCTAGCTCCAGCACCATCGCAGGACGGCACTCTCGCACCACCTCATCCACAATCAGGCCTGGGGGGAAGTGGGAGGTTGCCGAGTCCGGCCCCCATGCAGCCCCTGAGAGCCCCTCCGAGGAACCCACATCTCCAGCCACGGGGCTGGGCCTCTCCCCAGCGCCCCACCCACCTTCCCACCCCGCACACGCTGCTGGAGGGTCTTTCAGCCCCTGAGGCCTGCTCCTTTAGGAGCTCGGCGGGGGCAGTGCCTAGGGCATTGGCTAGACGGTTGGTGGTTCAAACCTACCAGCTCCTCTGCAGAAGGAAGATGGGACAATCTACTTCCGTAAAGGTTTGCTGCCTTGGAAACCCGGTGGGGGTCACTATGAGTCAGAACTGAATTGATGGCAATGAGTTTGGTTTGGTTTCCTTTTTTGAGGTCCGCCCTGAGGACCTGCTCCCCACGGCCTTTCATGCCTCTGCACACACCAGTCCTTTCTTTTCCCACCTGCCTGCTCCCTCAGCCAGAGCTGCCCTTTCTGGGAGCGCCCCCCCCCCCACAGGCTGCCCTCACTAGTGCACTTATACTCTGTCAGGGGCTCTGAGGGGGCGAGACAGGGTCTATCACATGTTTGTCCCCAGGACCAACCAGCCCCAGGGAGTGCACTACAGCAAACACTCGTGCCCCAGGCTGGGGTCCAGGATGGAGGCGGCCATGGGAGGGTTGGGGCGCCTTCTCCCCTGCCTTGGTGGCGCCTGCCCTGCCTGCCCACGTCTCTCTTAGCCACAGGACTGTGGGTGCAACCCCCAGTATCCCAGAGCTCACTGTCTGCCCTCTTTTGAGTCCAGCTCCGTGGGATGATGTAGGTGTGGAACCCCAGCCTCCTGCAGCTGGGGCCTGAGTCAGGCTTTGCAGGAAGCGCTCTGGGCCTGACTCTGTCTGGCCAGTGCTCCCCCCAGGCCTTCTGGGGTGTGAGGATGTGGAGGAGTGCTGTGCATGGACTAGGCTTCTTTACAGAAACAAGGAACACGTCTCCCACGGCCCTGACTGCCCACAGGACCTTGGGCCTGAGTGCAACATCCCAGCCTGCTGAAGGTATCCTGGCTTGCACAACCTTTGCCCCTTTTACCTTTGCCCTCAGCTGAGGGCCCAAAGGGAAGCAGGAGGCTGGGCCTGTAGCTTGGGCACCCAGGGCTCAGACCAGCTCCCCCCACCCCTACCACATGGGCCTGTTCCCAGATTCCCAAACACTCCAAGATAGGGGCTCTCACAGACCTCTCCCGTCGGGACTGTGAGCCCCCCCAGGAGAGCCCATCGCCCTCACCTTTCTCATCGCCCACGTTCATGGCCCACTCCTTCTGCGAGCAGTAGGCATCGATGGCACCCAGCACACTCTGCGGGTCTCCACGCTGCGCGTGCTCCTGCACGTAGCGCAGAATGCGCTGCTCCTTCTTGTCACCCATGAGCAGGTTCATCACAGAGTGCAGGACGAGCTCATTCCATAGGATGAAGCACAGGGGACGGAACCGCAGGGACAGGAGCAGGGCCAGCAGCGCCAGGCCCAGCACGGCGGTGACCAGCAGCAAGGGCAGGCCCTCCAGCATCTGCGGAGGGTGGGGGTGCAGCAGAGAAGACAGTCGGGGCAGAAAGCAGGGGGTCCAGGGACAAAGAAAGATGGGGTGGGGGAACAGGATCTGCGAGGAGGAGGAGGAGGAGGAAGGCCTCAGGCTTTGCTGCAAGCCCCTTGGGCATTTCATGGAGATCCTACTTTTCCTGTCTCACCCACTGGCTCCTCAGTTGGGGGCACAGGGGTGTATGCAGATGGGGGCCTGGTGGCCAGCCATGCTCAGGCCTCTCACTCTGCCCTCTGTGCCCTGAGCAAGCCACCTGTCAGGCCGGGTGCATTGGCTGCCAGGCTCAAAGTATAACCCATCAGGGACCACGCTGTGTCTGCATGGGACTTGCTTACCAAGAAGCAGTGGCAATCCCTGGAGGAGGAGGAGGATCCCACAGCTTCCTGCCTCTGAGCTTCCGACCCTCTAAGCCAGTTTAGGAAACACAGGGGAGGGGCAGGGCCCACAGGTGGGGACCAGTCGGAGCAGTGGGAGGCTGGTCGGCAGCACAGGCAGCCTTTCCAGAGCCGCAGACGCCTGTTGCAGAGGGATTGCCAGGTAAAGCCCCAGGTGGCTCCCAGGAGTCAGGCACCCAGGTCACAGCTTCTCTCTGGGCTCCCCTCAGAAACAGCCCAACCTGGCGTTTGAGCCCCTGAACAAGAAGGACTAGCCCTGGCAAGACGCGCGGTGACACGTGACTGCACAGGCTGCTCCTGTTGATGGGTCTTTGGGAAGTTAGATGGTGGCACGCGTAGGAAGAAGCTTGCACGCTTTTTGTCTAGTTTAGCAAGCTGGGGGAAATGTACACCTTTACGTAAGTAAGCCATGTTTTTACCAAAAGAGCAATTTACAAATCTGGAAATAACATAAAACACCAACGGCTACAAAAAATGCATACAAATCCATAAGATAACGATGATCCAAAAGAAACACAGGTAAAGGAGGCAGACAGTTTATACAAAAACCCAGAAGCCCTAGCAGGTCGAGGTGCCCACTGCCTGGGGTGCAGGCCGGGACCCCGCCAACTGCTAACAGAAGCATAATTTAGGTGGCTTTTCTAGAAAGCCTGGGTACCATCTCACAAAGCGCCTAGCCCACCAGGGTCAGCAGTCTACTTATGGGAGGTCCCAGGGCCTGCACGGGGCCAGGTTGGATGACCTTGTCCCTCACGGGGCAGGACTCCAAGGTGCAACATACCACAGCACGGTGGTGGTTCCCTTCTGGGACAGTGACAAGAAATGAACAGTGAGAGTGGTGTACAGGGTCACAAGGAGGGAGATGTTACTTACATACTGAATTTCTTGAAGTACTCAGGAGTCATGAATTACAAATTCCAATCCCTGTGATAGGAGCTCTGGTAGCGTAGTGCCTAAGGCACTTGACTGCTAACCAGAAGGCTGCTGGTTCAAACCCATCAGCCACTCCTCCGAAGGAAGATGGGTCAATCTACTTCCATAGTGATATCGCCTCGGAAACCTAAGGAGGGGTCGCTAAGAGTTGGGCTGACTCGAGGGCACATAACAACAACAATCCCTGTGATATTTGAATTGTGTAAGAATTTGGCCTTTAAATCTCTAGGTTTGTCTGTTTATAAATCTGCACCTTTGTATACACACACACACACACACACACACACAAGTAATTCCACACTTTGTTCACCAGGGAGAAGCAGGAACCCAGAATTTGTTCTTCTGGCCCTGTCTGCTGCTCAGCCTGGAGCCTGAGAAGGCAGCATCCCCTCAGCACATAGCTAAGGGTAGGTGAAGCCCCTTCCCATCCTGTCAGGAGGGGCTGGACGCTGACAGGCAGGGAACCTCCAAAACCCATTCGGACCACCATGCCTATCAGATGGTGCAGCTACGGGACTCGGGTGCACTCCTACCACCTGAGTTGCTGTGACCCTTCGGTTTCAAGCTGTGGCCCTCTCAGGAGCCTGAGGTGGTGGTGGGTGATGAGGGGGCATTGGCAGAGATAAGGAATAGTCGGGAAGGATGCCCTTCTGGCCAAGCCCCTGTGCTAGGCTCCCCAGTGCTCATACTTCTGCAGGGTGAGGTTGCAGTTCAAACTTTCTCCTGCATCTTCACCCCACCAGGCCCCAGGTCTTCACTGGGCCCTGGGCTGGAGACACTGGTGGGGCTTGGGCAGGCAAGAAACTTCCAGAAGCCAAGATCATGGAGCAGCCTGTGTCTGACACTGCCTGTCCCCCTTTCCTGGAGGCACCTCCCAGCAACGCTTTGTTTCTCAAAAAGCTGGGGGTGGGTGAGGCCAGTGTATGCCTGAGCAGCTCAACTTCCCACCCTCCCTGTTCCCCCCATCCCCAAGAGTTCTGGCTTCTCCAGAGCAGGAGTGACTAAGCCCTGAAGGGTAGGGGCTGGCTGGCCACCGTCCACACTGCCTCCCGATATCCTTGTCCAGCTAACAACTCCACCCCTGCCTTATTTTTCAGCCAGAGCGAGTAGAAAGGTGGCCTTCCCAGGGGTCCTGCATCCCCAGCCTTGTCTCTAGTCTCGGGGTGAGGGACAGTACTTGGATCACCTGCTCACTGACTTCTGGACACAGCTGAGAGGACTAGACCTTTACTGAGGCTTCCACAAATGACCCTGGAGAACTTTCTGCCCAAACCATCAGGGCAGTAAAGCCCAACATGCCCTCCCCCACTAAGAACCCCAAAACAAAACAAAACCCAAACCCACTGCCACTGAGTCGATTCTGACTCATAGTGACCCCCGTTAGGTTTCCAAGACTGTAAATCTTTATGGAAGTAGACTGCCTCATCTTCCTCCCACGAAGCAGCTGGTGGGTTTCAACCGCCGACCTTCTGGTTAGCAGCCAAATGCCTCACCCACTATATCACCAGAGCTCCTTAGCAAGAACCCAGGAAGCTCCAAAGCCACAGCAGCAAGACTTGAGGTATTCAGGTCCCCAGGGTTGGGGTTGCATGTTCACTCCCACTAACTGGGTTTTCAGGTCTGCTGCCATGAGAGGGAAGTGGACCAGCCAAAGCCTGCAGAGACAGTGGGTAAGGAACTCAGGCCAGGCACCATGGCTGCCAGGAGCCACTGTGGGCTGGGACAGCCATCCATTCTTAGCATTTGGAGCAGGTGTGTTTCTAAGGCTGCTGGACACATGATCTGGACAAACGCTGTCCCAGGAGGAATGTTAGCTGCCCCATGCGCACCCTCACCGAACGTGTCCCTGACTGCCCTGCCCCCAACACACATGAATCCAAGTGAAGCCGGCCACATGGGAGGAGCCAGGAACCCCAGGGACCTCGTAACTCACTACTTTCTGCATCACTGCATAAATTACTGGCAATTTGGTCAAAGCCGGGAATGTCACGCGATGGCAGCACCCCCAGCCCTTCACCTTGGGCAGCTAGTGAGGTCCAGCCAAGTCTGTGTTCTGCCTTTCTGCTCTCTTGGCAGGCAGCCTAGGCCACAGAGAGGTCATGGGAGGGGCTGAGGGCTCAGACTCCTACTTCGACCCCAATCCCAGGGAGACATCCTCCCTTTAGGGCCTCCAAGCTGGAAGACGCTGCTGCTTCTGGCCCAGCCTGTTCCAAAAAGGGAAAGGGAATCTGGTGTTTCCCGTAAGAAGCAGGGCCCGAAAAACCACCTCATCACCCTACCTCCTCCCTCAGGGTCCCAAAAACTAAAACCAAACTCACTGCCATTGAGTCGATTCTGACTCACAGTGACCCCCATTGAATTCCAAGGTTGTAAATCTTGCCCCATCTTCCTTCCACGGGGCGGCTAGTGGATTTGAACCGCCAACTGTCTGGTTAGCAATTAAATGAGCTCTCAGGGACCCAGGCACTTGATAAAGCCTTACTGCCAGCTACCACTGCCCAAAAGGCCCTGCCCTGCCTGCCTCCATGGAGCACTAGCTCCCTTGCACACTCACCTCCAGGCCCACTCCCCAAATGCTCACTCCTCACCTCCAGGCAACCTCATCTCCAGGTCCCCCCACATGCACTCTCACTTCCAGCACCCCCATGTGCAGGATCATTTCACAAAGCCAGATGTCAGACACTGGCCCCATGGCATTGTTACACTGACATACAGAAATGGCAGCGGGGCAGACAGAGATGTGGGCTGGACTGCTGTGGGCAGGAAGATACTCTATACCAGGGTTATGGGTACAAGGCCCAGGGCAGGGAGAAACTCAAGTAAGGGAAGTAACAGAATCGCCCCGCCTGACTCCCTCTCTCCACCTGCGGCCTCCTGCCAGCTTCCCTGAGCAGCCACAGGGAGGCAACAAACTGAGCTGGCACAGCCTTTATCCCAATCAGGGGCCCAGAAAAAGTCTTTCACACGCTGCACACAGCCTGCATGCCAGGCACTGCTGGGAATAGCTGTGACTGTCATCACAACCACTCCAAGGAGCTGGACCTCCCACATGCTTGTTTCCCAAAGGTCAAAAGAGACCACCAAGAACTAGGAAAAAAGAGCAGAGTGGAAGGGGGTGCCGTGGGCAGGGAGAGGGCCAGGAAATACCAGTAGGTCAGTGCCCAGGGATAGATGGTTGGCACCAGGCCCACAGGATGGTCCCAGTGCCAGGCTTGGAGCCTGCTCTCTGCCTGGGAGCTGGAAGGTTTCTCCTTCTTCCGAGGACACGCCTGGTGAGGACCCCTAGCGGCAGCTCTTGACCCCCTCTGTACCCTTCCAGACCCCCAAAGCAAGTGTAGTTCCCGTCCTGTCCTAGGGTTGCAGCCTTCCTCCGCCTTCCCAGCAGAGCCGTGAGGTGCGAGAGTTCAATCTGACCTTTAGCGTCGGGTCCTAAGAAGCAACAGGACACAAAGCATCCGGCTGGAAAAACCCGAAGTGCTGATCTTTTAACACTGGAGTCACTTCCGCCTTTCTGTAACATCCCTAACACAGGCCCCCAGCCTACCCCCCAGACTCCGCTTTTCTGGGGGATGCCCTTCCCCGACAGGAAAGGCCCCTGGGGCACCCCACAGCCTCCACGGAGGGACCTGTTGGGGAGATCGC